TGAAACGCACTGACTTCAGTGAGCGCCCCAAAGACAGCAATGCCACAGCCGGGCACTCAAATCTCTTATGGACCCCCTGTGATAGGTAAGGGGTGACCGCAGATTCCTTGCTGCTCCTCCCACTCAAAGTGGGAAAGAAATTCCCTGCCCCTTGAATAGAGGCTGGCCTGGAGGATTTGCTCGATCAATAGAATGAGGTAGGAGTCATCCTCTGAGACTATGTGATAACAAATCTAGCAGCTCTGCTTGGGCTGCCAGGAGCACTCTCTCTGGGAGAAGCTGGCCACCATGGGACCCTACCGTGAGGCCACCAGGCTCTGAGGAGGCCCAAGAAACCTGTGGAGAGGCCTACGTGGAAGGAGCAGAGACCTCCAGCCAGCAGGCCCTACCGAGCTCCCAGTCACTAGCCCATGCCAAGTTGCCATCGTGTGGGGGTCAGGGGGCCTCTCAGATGTGAATCCTCCAGGCCTGATGGAGATGTTGCCACTGTCACCACGTGGAGCCGAGATGGGTGGGCCCCCACCAAGTTCCACCCAAGCTGCAGATTCAGGAGCAGAGCAAATGATTGTGGCGTGAAGCGCTGGGCTTTGCGGTGTCACTCAGTGACAGATAACAGGAACACTCCACGCGCACGAGGCAGTTGTACCGAGTGCTCCGTTACACTGTTTGGATCAAAAGCGTCTCTTAGTTCTAACTGATGAATAATTGCTTCCATTTTTGAACGTTTACCACGGCAGCCTCTGTGCCAAGGACTCCCATTAAAACCTATAATTTTCCTACTCTGCAGATAGAGAAAATAAACGCAACGAACACCACCACCAGGGATCTTTCCAGCTCTTCCCTTTTCTCGAAAGAGGCTCCTCAACCATGTGGTTGCAGCAGCGTGTGACCAGTAACGGTTGGGATGATGTGGATTGCTGTCTAGACAACAGCTGATGGAACCAGGAAGGGAGTTTTTGCTAAGCTGGACCAGTGGGTCCCTTCCCTGGCACTCGGGAAGTGGAACTAAGAGATTGCCGGCTTGATCTGACCCGAATAGAAGAAAACAGGAGAGATGTGAGTGGCACTGCCACCACACAGACTGAGAAGTGAAGAGGGTCAGGTTTGCAGAGAACATGCCGGAATACCGCTGGGGCAGGACAAGGCACCAACGTCCCCATGGTGACTCAGCCCGCGGTCCACCTAGCCCTGAGGCACAGCCACACCCTTCCTCTGGGGTTTCCGAAGTAAAGGTTTCCATTCCTTGCTTACGCCAGCTCTAGCTGGTTTCCGCTGGTTCTGATGAACGTGAGCTTGCTGAGGATCACAGGGGCCCCTTTTCCTAAGGTCCCACAGGCAGCAAGGGTTGGCTCAAGGTGGAAAGCCCGGTCGGTGCCCCTGGCGCCTTCATCGCTATGGCAGGCTGGCAGACCTTTTTCTGCTCTCTCCACAATTTCATGAAATATCAGCAAAATTAAAGTGCCCACAACAACTCTCAGCCTCTCCTTCGGCACCAGAAGTGGCAGCCCTCTCTCCATCCAGCCAGCTAATTTTTGGATACGTTTTAGAGTAAGTTGCAGACATCAGGGCCTCCACCCCTTAACACTGCAGTTTGCAGACCATCTCTAATCTTCTAGCACAAAAGCTCGCAAAGCGCATCCCCATCACTTGGAGTCCACAATGCTGCCTGATTCATCCAAGCCTGGGAGTGGTAGGAATTTGTAACCCACACGGAATAGAGAGGGGATGTGGGTACCACGCCAGACCCTTCTTGTACAGTTTTATTATAAAAATTTTTAAACATACAGAAAAGTGGAAAGAATTGCACAGCAAATACCCTCGTGCCAACTAGCTAGTTTCCACCATTAACATTTCAATTTGATTTATCACATGCCTCTCCATCTGTCGCACCCTCAGCACAGTTTCCATTCAGGTACGTTTTCCAGTCAGCTGTGGCCATCAGTGTCTCCAGGCCCCACGCACCAGCACAGACATCTCTCTGATTGTGTTCTGTGGCCTCGGCCCTCCATGGGCGTCTCCACCATCCCCACCGCACCAGAAATTAAAAGGCAAATGGGAAAAACAACTTTGGGGCAGCGGTTTAGAGTAAACTGTGATGTTTATAATCACGGCAGGTACGATCTTGACGGGGTCTGCTTCTCCCTTAGAGCTCCTCCATGCTCCTTCTTCCTGCACGGGCACCACGAGATGACCCGGAGCACCAGCTGCGGTGGCTCTCCTCCAGGGGGTGGAATTAAGTGGCCGATTTGGTTTTTTTAAGTTTACCTGTATTTTAGAAGTTCCATATTATTCAGGAGACCCACCAACTCTAGAAACTCGGACCCATTTTTCCCTCTACGGAGCACTTTTATTAGTTAGCAGATCTCTAATATGAAACATGCGCCTCAGAGAAAAGAGTCCCGCGGTGCCTCCCCCGCCTCCGGAGGTCTGACGTCTGCATCTACAGCCTGGCAGAGATTAACAGGCAGTTAACCATGTGTGCTTCGTCTCTGCGTCATGCCCCGCAAGTTTTGTTTTTCCAGGCAGTTGTAAACGTTCGGCGATCGGATACAGCAGGAGGATCCCAGCAGCGCTGAGCCAGGAGAAGGGAGGGAGGGCGGGAGGTGGAGAGCGGTCAGTACCGACGGCAGCATCAAGATCCGCTCAGCACTGACCATCGGGCACCACCCTGGCACTCTGCACGCGTCTTATTCATCCTGCCAACTGTTCCAGGAGTGGACACCTGGAGCAGTGTGTTCTCTTAGGGGACAAGGACGACCAAGTAAGCTGAAATCAACTTGAACACAGAAAACTTTTCTGCAGGGTGCATACAGTCAAGTTTAAGACTTTTAATAAAGGTGAACTCTTAGCGATAGGCCTAGCTGTGGAAAGAATATTCAGTCACGCCTGCTGCTCCCCAGGCCCCGGGCTGACCGCAGGGCGTTGTGCTGTCTCCGCTCACCTTTGTGATGTTCTGAGACAAGTCCTTGTCATTTTCCCCATTCTACACATAGGGAAAGCGAATTACAAAGAGGCTAAATGATACCTAAGTATTTCTGGAGAGTAAATGTTTTAGAAACAGGTCAAGTTGATTCCGTTCCTGAGTTTGAAGAGGCCAGGGACTGCCTCAATCAGTCAGTTGACACACGCTTGACAAGGGCCCACTATGCACCAGGCAGTGCGCTGGTGCCGGGTTTGGGAAGCTTAATAACATACAGCCTCATGTGCTCGCGTTGGCTTTAGCACAGCTGGTTGATCCGTGAATATTCCGCCCCATCGCTGCATGAGTAGCCTTTAGAAGGAGAACTCGCCAGACTAGTCCAGAACCATGGGATACACAATAAAATGACTACTGTTGCTTTAAGCCACTAAATTTTGGGGTGATTCCCGACACAGCAGTGGACAGCAGCTATGGGGGAGGAATGGAGCAGGCTGGGCAGAGGGAGGAGCTGAGCTGCGGCCGGTCACACGGAGGCCCGCACCACCTCACGGGCGCTGTGGAGCTCCCATGATCCTGCACGGCCGTCCCAACGTGGGGCACGGGGATGCGCCCTCTTGCCGCTGGCATTTACCAGTCACCAGTTGCTGACTGTCCCTGCGGAGCAGCCATGACCTGAGCCAGGGGGCCTGAGAAGCCTGGAGATGCCGGGCACTGGCTGGGAGGGGACTGACGGAGAGCTGTCAGTCATCGGCTGGAGGAGGGGCCTTTAGTCCAGAGAGGGTGGAGTCTGCTGCACAGCGTCCTCGTCCGGCTCCGGACACCACCGAGCCCCTCGCTGCAGCATCTGTGGGATCCACACGGAGGGGCGGCTACAGACGAAGGGACTCGCTGTGGGGAACAGTCTGAGGGGTCCTCAAAAGGTTGAACACAGAGGTGCCAGTGACCCAGCACGTCCACTCCTGGGCGTGTGCCAGGAGAAACGAGAACACGCACCCACAGAAGTGTGCACACAAGCACTCGCAGCACTGTTCCAACGGCCAAAATGTGGAGACAACCCAAACGTCCCTCCACTGACGACAGAGACGCCAGCTGCGGCCCCTCCACCCAGGGGAACGCGATTCAGCCATAAAAAGGGACGAAGCCCTGACACACGCACTGCGACGCGCATGAGCGTGAAAACATGATGTGGAGAGGTGCGGCCAGGCATAGAGGGCATCGCTGTGTGAGCCCGTTGGTACGAAACGGCCAGGACGGGCAAACCCACGGAGACAAGTTAGTGGTTGCTGGGGGCTGGGCTGAGGGCGATGGGGAGCCCCTGCTAGCGGGTAGGGGGCTTCTTTTTGGGGTGATGGAAATGCTCTAACAAGAGGTAGCGGTGACAGTTGGACAATTCTGTGAGTATAGTAAAAACCACTAAATTCTACACACCAAAGTGGTCATGGTATATGGATTCTCTTTGTATAAATATGAACAGATATGTATATTTATTTCGTATTTTTATGCATTTATATTATTTATGTTTCATATTGATATATTGCATGTGTTCATACAGAGAATATATATACGATAAGGCGTATGAATGGAGGTCTCTACGGGCCGAATACAGGCCCTGCAAACCTGACTCTGCCACTCATGGACTGTGTGACTGTAGGGAAGTTTCTTGCCCTCTCTGGGCCTCTGTTTCTTCATCTGCAAAGTGGGAGCAACAATGGGGCCCATCACTGGGGGCCTGGAAATGGAGTAGTCAGGTGCGGACAGTGCTCGGGCAATGACAGGCCTGCCGTCTGTGACCCACGTGTTGTCTGTCACCCCTCTGGCCTCCACTGGGACCCAGTCCTTTGTACCTGGACCGCTGCACACCCACCTGTAGCGCATCGTCTGGTCCCCAGCAGCACAGATCGTCGGGGTTCGGGGTGGGGAGGCACCGTGAGCTGTGGATGGGATGGGGGCCACGCCCCAGTCCCTGCTCCGTCACCTACCAGCTATGCGACCCTGGACAAGTCACCTTCTTCCCTGAACCTAAATGTGCTCAGGTGTAAACGGGAATAATAAAAATGAATGCCAGCTGGGGTTATCGATATAATAAGTGAATACGCACAAAGCCTGTACTTCAAGGAGCGCGACGTGGAGCAAGCTCTGAGCAGCATTCGCCGTGGCTGTTGTTGTTGACTTCGCCTCCTGCTGGACCAGCTTGCTGTCCACTCAGAGTTCAAGAGGCCTTTATGCAGGGCTTCCAGGTGCCAGGGACCACAGCTTCCCGTTTCTCCCTCACTGTAATTCCTTTCATAGATGAGGAACCTGAGGCCAAGAGAGGTCCAGTCACTGCCTGGGGATCACACAGCTAGCAGAGGCCATACCAGATCCATACAGGTCCGAGCCTGTGCCATTTCCACTGCACCAGTGTTTTCTAAGTGCCAGATGCATACTACTGTTGGCACACAAAGCATTTTTAAGTGGAATGCAGGTAGACATTATTGCATAAAGACCACTGCCTTTACTTTTAATGTTAATAGGAAAAATTTTTACATTTATCTCCAAGTGGTTATTTCACAGATATTTTTGCTTACAGAGAGGCCAAGATGGAAGCCAGTCTCATTTTTTAAGTATTAATATGAAGTAAATTATATTGTAGGTAGTAAGTGCCAAAAAAAATTGTGAAGTCATTTTTGTCCCTTTTCCCATAAATTGAAATCGAATCTGGGTCTGAAGTTTCCGCCTGGAAGGATCTGCAGCTCATAGCAGTCCGCAGGCACAGGGCACATGACTTTCTGTGCTGAAACCTCTAACAGTCACACAAACGAGCAGAAGGAAATACATCCAGGGGAAAAAAGGCGACGACGGGCATTTCCCTCCCAAACTTGAACCCAGGCAAGTGTGACGCACCTAGGCGCCTCAGCTGATATTTTAAAAACTCAGACGCAGAAGCCGTTTGAGGAGATTCCGCCTTCCGTACTCTGTCTGGACGAGCAGGGTGCAGCGGGCATCAGAAGCGAAGGCTCGCTCAGTTCCCCCTTCTGCAGAGCTGCGGGATGCTGGGGAGTTCTCCCCGCCTCTGTCCTCTGGGCCTCCCTCACCCCTTCTTCACCTGGCGGACCTCGTTTTCCCAGCCTGGCCAACCCTCCCCTCCCAGCCTTCCAGACACACCCAGTCATCATGGCTGGGAGCCCAGAGTGTGGAGGGCAATGTGTCTCCAGGACCCCCGGGAGCCCATCCTGTGGTCCTGCGGGACCCGAGGTTCAGTGTCTTGATGCCTGCCCTCTGGCCCTGGGTAAAGAGTAGTCACATTTTACCTAAAGGCCTCTTTTTGAGGGGGACGGGGTGGGGTGGGGGAGTTTCTGTAAAAGGTTTTCTACCTTCCTGCGTCAATCTCTACGGAATCCTTCCTGCTCCCTAAATGAACTTTTAAACATTGCCGCAACACTAAACCAGCAATTACTAACAATGAGAAGAATAGCTGATATGTATTGAACTCTGTGCCAGGCACGAGGCGAGCATTTCTCAGCATTCCTCTTGAGTTCCCACCCCAGCCTTAGAAGGCAGAAAGGAGGAAGAGCCCCATTCAGGGCTCGGAGCATGTCACCTTTCCGGCTCACACGCCCCGTCGCAGGCCGACTCAGGGTGCCAACTCGACTGCCGGAGGTCGCCGTGTCCAGGGCTGTGTGCAGCCCGCTGCTCTACGCCAGGGCCCGCGCTGCCCCTGCCTGGCCCACAGCAGCGGCTCAGCGAGCTCTGGGTGAAGGCGTCAATGACTCCAGCACACCTCCTGACGCAGGGCTTCCTGGAGACAAGCCATCATTAAATGGGAAACCGAAAAAAGGAAGGAGGATGATGCCAAAGCTTCGCAGGGCTTGGCTCAGGCCCTCGTGTGGCCAGCCAGCTCAGCCCACGGGGGCAGCTGACTGCGCTCTGAGTCAAATAAATCACCACCACCCACCCGCCACAGCCCCGGCACAGCCTCCTTATCAGCATCCCCCCTCCCAGAGGGCACCCAGCTCCTTCTGCTGACCAGGCCAGGCAGGCAGAGCCTGGGCTGTGGCCTCCCACAGGGGAGGCGGCTGGGCAGCCCAGTGGGCTGTGGACTCGGTCACACCATGCAGAGTGTGAGCGGCTCACTCCTCCACCCTCGCTGACCCGCTGGCGCCTTTCTTGTGAGCAGCAGGGGTGTGCCAGTGACGAGAAGCCTGGGCTTCAAAGACCAGGCAGGGCTACAGGGCTGTCCTCGCAGAAGCTCCCTCCCAGCCCCCCAGCCCCCGAGCCCCAGCTCCCTGCCGGGCTGGTCCACACTGCGGGGCTGGCCCTCCCAGCCCCCCAGGAGGGGCTGCAGCCCCAGAGCAAAGGCCGGGAGGCCCCGCCTCGGCGCTGGGGTGCCCGGCCGACCACTGCTCTTTTCTCTCGCTGGTAACTGGCTCTAAGATCTGGGGGTCAGGGGAGGAGGAGGAGGTGCAGCCGGGGTCTGCCTCCCCCTCAGGGGTCAGCAGAGCGCTGGGCCTTTCATCATCTGAAGTTCATCGTAGTCCATTAAGAAATGACCCACGGGAGGAACAAGGCCTCTACACCGTGGCATCTTTCATTTCTCTGAACTCAAAGGGCGTAAGGATTGAAATAATTTTGGCCAATCCAGAACATCAGGATTTCTTAAAATATATATATGATGCCATTTTTCTCCAGAAATATGACACCAATGTGGGCCCGAGCGAGAGCTCTTTTCTCCCTATACACAATGCAGAGACTGACTCTGTTTTAACCTACCTACCCCAACCACCTGTAACGTCCTAGAGATGACGGGGCTACTCGTAAAATAACCACGCAATTTTTGTTTTTGAAAGTGCTGATTCCCAGAAGCTGCGGCAGTTCTGTCTGGCAGTTTGGGTGCGCCCCTCCTCCTGTCCCGGATGCATGTTTGAGGCTGTGGTACGGCCCCACGTGGAGACGCTGGCGACGGCTCTCATTGGGTCTTTTCCCGACGTGAGGCTCAGGCTGAAGAGGAGGACAAGGGGGTGGGAGACTCTGTGATCCCAGCCCTGGTCTCCATGACAACAGAGAATGTTCTAGAAGGGTGAGGGCACCGTTCACCTCAGGGCAGAAGGCCTGGTGGGAGGGCCGCACATCAAGCCTCTCATGTTTTGGTTCAACTTGAGTAAGAGGGGAAATTCCCAGGAACCCCTCTGGGGCCTGAGACCCCCAACGCTGAGGGAGGCAGGGGCCCCGCCCGCCCCCTCGCAGACTAGGGTTTGTGTGCTTGTATTTTTTTTTATTCTCAAGAAAACTGCTGTTTTCCAGGCAGCTTCAATTAAAGCGGGCCCCCTTACCTCGCTGGTTACATTGTTTACATTTCAAAGACCTAATCCTCTTGTTGGGCCCATATTGTTTCTTGCGGGCTCTTAATGAAAAGCGTTTGTCCGGGATTACTCCTAACCAGCAAATGCCATCCCCCCAAGACAGTTAGGCTCTGCGGGACAGCCGCGTGGCTCCAGCGCCCGGGGCCTCTGCAGGGCGGGTGGCCTGGCCCGCTCGCCTCTGCTGCCCTCGGCCTGGGTGCCCCCGGCCGGCCCGGAGTCCAGGAGGCCTCACCATGGGCACCGAGGGAGCAGGTCCTCCCTCAGGGAGGAACGGTGAGGAGGAAGCCCCCCTTTCTGATGGGCTGTTTCGGTCTTGAGTCTGTGGTCCCCCTAAAAGATGGCCACGTCCTAATCCCAGAGCCTGTGCGTATGGGAAGGAGACGCTGCTGGTGAGGCCAGGCTAGGGGTGGGGGGACTGCCTGTAACCACTGGGGCTGTGTGAGAGGGCAAGAGGTCAGGGTGGTTCAAGGAAGGGGTCGAGAGCCAAGGAATGGGGGCGGCCTCCAGAACTGGACGAGGAAAGGGATTCTCCCCCCATAACAGCCCCTCGAGGGAACACGGGGCTGCTGACATCCTGAATTCACCTTCAGGACTCGCGCAGGCTCCTGGCCTCCAGAGCTGGACGAGAAGAGAGTCGTGTTATTTTAAGGCACCAAGTTCATCAAGTCACCATGGCCGACTGATGCAGAAGGAGCCACTCTCACCCTGACCATGGCTCTGCTCAGGGCCTGGTTGGGCCTGGGGGGCCCTGCCCTCCTTTGATGAGGGTCCAGCTGGAAAGCCATTAGCAGATGCTGCCTCCACTCTCTACAAGCAGGACTGCTTTGTCCCTCCCAATGCCACCCCCCGGCGAAGGTTGGGATCCCAAGGAAAGCTGACGCAGGGACGAGGTGCCTTCAACAGGGCATCCACGGTCCCCTCTGCCACCCTCGACCCCTCACCAACCTGATCCTGGCTCTCCCTCCACCCACTGTTCCCTGGCTGCAGTGGGCGGTGGTGTAGACACGCTGCCCTCCAGCAGAACTAATCAAGAAGATTACAGGGCCCGCATGTGAGAGAAGGCCTCGACTGCCGGGGGAGACCGGAGGAAAATCCCCTGGTCCATTTCCCCAAACTTGCCTTTGATTTTTAAGGGTTTTTTTCCCAAACGTTTCTTCATCGTGGATTTCCGGATGCGTCGTCCCCAGCGGCACATACAACAAGTTTTGGCAAAAACCAAAGTCTTATTTCTCCTTCGACTGGAGGAGGTTAAAGTGATCCCCCCCAGATGCACAAAGGAATAAACTCCCCCAGCGCAATTAAGGAGAAGGTGCCGGGATGAAAAGAATTCCAGCCTGTTGACAAACCGTGTTCTCGTTTTCATGTAAAAGTCACAAGACGGAACTTGCCGTCCATTTGGCTTGGGGGGATCAGGGTTGGGGTTTAGAATGGGGGTGGGAGGCTCGCAGGGGAGGCTGGAGGCTGCCGCTTCCCTGGATAGGGGCCCGGGGCGCCCACCTTCATGGCGCTGCTGGGCCCGCAGGGGCCCCGGACCCACAGAGCCTCCCGTCCACCCCAGGGGGCAAGGAGCTGCGGGGAGGGTGCTGCGGCAGCTCCCGGACCTTCCCAGGCCTCAGTCACGTCCCGTCCTGTGTAAGATGTGGCTGATGCCCGCCCGCCCGCCCGCAGGGCTGGGAGCTCAGAGAGGAGCCCCCGGGCACACTGAGCCTGGCTGGGGAAGCTCTCCAAACAGCAGCGCTGTCTGGGCTGTGGGTCCTTCCTCCCCCCACGACCCCTCATGAGGAAGGCGAGCTCGCCCACTTGCTCTTGTAGAGGCCCAAGGAGGGGCACACAGGCAGCGCTTAGGAGTGGCTCGGTTCTTTGGCACTGCCTGTCTACAGGGTCGCCGCATTGTCTGGTTGTGGTGACTGTTTCCACGGCCTCTTATGGGGTCACAATAACACGTCCCTCAAAGGGGGAATGCGGGTCAAATTGCATCTTGCAGCCAGTGCCTGGTCCACACTGCGGGCCCCCAGGTGCAAGTGTGGTGGGCAGGGGTGGTTGCGGTTGTTGTATTCTACGTGCTGTAATGAGCTGTGTATCTGAGACTGTGCCCCTTACACACACACATACATACACCCTCATGCACACACTCCACACTTACACATGCTTGTGCGCTCACACACACATTCATACAACCACAATTCACACACACAAATACTCACACATACACACAATCTGATCACACACATACTCATGCACTCTAACACTTGTTCACACATGTATACACGCTCACACACACACAGAACCACCCATGCCCCTACACTCTCCCACTCACACACATCCTCATTCACTCACTCACACATTAACACTCATACACAATATACACACTTGCTCACACATTCACACCCACAGCACACTCACACTAAACTTCACAGGAAAAGCTGCCAGGACCCTCTGCAGCTGCAACCTCAACCCCCAGCCTGGGAGAGGGGGGCAGGCCATCCCCAGGTGGCTACGGAACATTCCTCAAGGCAGGAGGCCAGGCCCAGGGAAGTTGCACTGCGCGGTCCCAGGGCCAGCTCACTTTGAGGCCCTTTTTCCGGCTGCCTGACCTCGTGCCTTTGACGCTGCGCACAGGCCGGGCTCGAGGACACCATTCCTTCTGCGAGCCTTCACCTGGGTGTGCAAAGCTTTGCAGAGGTGGCCCTGGGAGACCCGACCCCTGGGTCTGGAAAGCCAGGAGAAGCTCCACGTGGCTTCCATGCCCAGTACACTGGGCCGCTAGAGAGTCCTCTGCCGCCGATCCAAGTACCACGGGGTGGGCAGGAGGTGGAGTCCCAACACAGAGCCCAGACTGACTGACAGCTGCTTTTAATGGATGCCACTTAACACTGCCCTGACTTCCTTGCTATGCCCTGGAAGCCGCTTCCCCTCGCCCCTCTCTCCGCACCCACCGCGGGCATCTCCAGGGTCGTGAGGGGTGTGGGGGGAGCATACTCAGACTCTGCCCTCTCCCGGTGCTACTGCGCCTGGCACCCAGGGCCAGCAGCTGCTGGAGGCTGAACCGGAGTGAACCCTGGAGCCTCGTGACGAGCTGGTCACTGGAGGGCGGGGGCCTGAATTCTGCAGCTGCTCCTGAGGCCAGAAGCTATTCCAAGAGGAGGGTGCCCTGCCAGGCTCCAGGCAGCAGATGCCTTCTCCACAACCTCGAGTCCGCAGGCAGATCCGCGGTCTGCAGGGAGGGTGGCCACCGGTTCTGTCAACACCCCCTACGTGAACCAGATTCCCCTTGGGACCGGGGGGCTTTGAAGGGGGACAATAAAGTGTCCACAAAGTGTTCCCCGAGTCCAGAGTTATTTCTCAGCTCCCTCCTTAAAAGTGATCTCAAACAGCCCAAATGTCCACCCGTGGATGCACGGAGACACACTTGTGGTCTATCCACACAATGGAATATCATCCAGCCATAAAAAGAATGAAGTCCTGCACGCCGCAGTGTGGATGGACCTTGAAAACCTTGTGCTAAGTGAAAAATGTCAGACACAAAGGCCATGTGTTGTGTGATTCCATTTACGGGAAATCTACCAGAAGAGGTAAATCCACAGAGGCGGAAAGTAGATTGAAGGTGGTCAGGGGCTGAGGGAGGCAGGGAGGGAGGGGAGCCCTGCTGATGGGGGCAGGGTCTCCCCTTGGGGTGATGATGTTTGGAACTAGATAGAGGGAGTGTTTGCACAACTTGTGAATGCACCAAATGCCTCGGAATTGTACACTTTAAAATGACTCATTTTGTTACGTGCATTTTACCTCAATTAAAAAGAAAGTCATCTCTGATTTCAAAAAGACCAGTCAATGTTCCAAGGGACTCATTTGACGACAGGAAAGGCCATTTGATTTATGGGCCAAATGCTCAGGAGTGAGGAGCTCTGCCTGTAATGGAAACTTCATAAATAGCTGGGCACTGGTTTTCCCTGGAAAATTGGACCAGACTTCCTGGCTATCAGCTTCGCTATGTGTTCCACTCAAAGGGGCAGAAACCTCTAACTCACAATTTCATTCAAATGGGGAAAATAAAGCCCCCAATTCTTAAACTGATATGTTAAGGCAGAACCCCCTGGACATGCTTTTCTCATGGGACCTCGATCAGGGGCATTGAGTCTGCCTGTCATAAAAGAGGACAATGCGGCTGCCCAAACGCTGGTGTGTGTGGGGGGGTCCATGGGCTGGGAGCAATTGAGGAGAAGATTGAAAATGGGGTGGTCTGCCTTTTCAACTGCAGCCAGACTGCGTGCAAGGTTTTCCTGTTGTGTATTTACTGAATGTCTCCAGGCAGCAGAAACTTTTTGGGTGCTGGGAGAAAAATCGAGTGTAATAGTCACAATGACCACAGCAGTAATAATAACATTAATAATAATAATACCCTCTACCAGGCACAGTCACATGTCTTACGGAGCAGCTGGTATGACATTGGGCAACCTGATTAATCCTTCTGAGTCTCAGGGTCCACATCTGCACAACAGGACAAGTAATAGTCCCCACCTCATGACGATGTCATAAATATTAAACTAAGACTCAACTAGAAACATTCCATTTTTAACAAAAGGTTCAACTCACATTTATTAGCAAGCATTAATGACATCTGGGTCCAGGTCCACGTGGCCAGTCGAAGAAACATACCTTAGGGTCCTATGATATGCTCTATTTCTAAAT